GGAAGCAACCTAAGTGTCCATCAGTAGATGAATGGATAAAGAAGATGTGGTACATATACACAATGGAATATTATTCAACCATAAGAAGAAAACAAATCCTACCATTTGCAACAACATGGATGGAGCTGGAGGACATTATGCTCAGTGAAATAAGTGAGGCGGAGAAAGACAAATGCCAAATGATTCAAATGATTTCCCTCATTTGTGGAGTATAACAATGAAGCAAAACTGAAGGAACACAATGGCATCAGACTCAGACTCTAAGAAGGGACTAGTGGTTACCAAAGGGGAGGGGTGTGGCAGGGCATGTGGGGAGGGAGGGAGAAGTATTATGTTTAGTATACATGGTGTTGGGGGGATCATGGGGAGAACAGTGTAGCCCAGAGAAGGCACACAGTGGATCTCTGGCATCTTGCTGCACTGATGGACAGTGACTGCATTGGGGTAAGGGTGGGAGAACTTGATAATATGGGTATATGTAGTAACCACATTTTTTTTCATGTGAAACCTTCATAAGAGTGTATATCAATCATACCTTAACAAAAAATTAAAAGAAAATTAATTCCAGGTGTAGATATACCAATATGGTAGGTACAACAGCAGAGCATCTATAGCAGAAAATTTTCATGACCTTGGGCTAGGTAAAGATTATTAAGGAAGTCACAGAAAATACTAACCCTTAAGGAATAGATTGATACACTGAAAGAATTTTGATTTATTAAAATATAAAAAAATAGTATAGAATAGTGAAAAGGTAAAAGGGAGAAGATCTTTACAACACAAATAACTGACAATGACTAGTATTTGGAATACACAAAGAGCTCTTAGAATGAGCTAATCAGCATGAAAGATAAATAACCCACCCAAAGGAATATAATATGAAGCTTATCAAGAGATAATTTTATATTTTGGGCTCTGGTTCATGTTCGTCACTGTTCTGCTGCCTTACTGACTACCACTCATAGCTGTTGGGCATATATTCTAAGTATGAAGAGAATGGTGATTGAACTTTCTAATGCACTACTGGTAAGTAGAGAGCTTTGCAAAAACTACCCATGAATTAAATCATGTATTCTGTATAGTGAGGAAAATTAGCCTTTGCTCTATGAAAACACCTGAAAATGTAAAATCCCACGTGAATCTTTCACGTTTGGGGACTTCTCCTTTAAAAAGTAGATGATGACTCTGCAAAGACATTTAGACAGGCACTCTGAGAAGAACTCACCGTGTATTTCTCCAGGTTCACGCAAATAAAAAACAACAGTACTTCATTCCTGAGGCATTAGATGTGTGACGTTCTGAACCAAGATCATTAGCTTGGCAAGTTGACTCTATAACACCCCCTGCCCCCTGGTATTTACGCCCTGGGTAATCCCCTCTCGCCTGAGTATGGGCTTCACCCAGTGACGTGGCTCAGACCAGCAGAGTAAGGCACAGTGATGGAATGTCACGCCTGAGACTAGGTCACATAAACACTCTGGCTTCCATCTTGCTCCTCCTCTTCTGCTCTCTCACTTGCCGGCCCTGATGAAGCCAGGGGCCGTGTGGGGAGCTGCCTTATGAAGAAGCCCGGGTGGCAAGGAACCAAGAGCAGACTGTGGCCAGCAGCGCTCCATAAGCTGAATGCTGTCACCAAGCACTGGGTGCATGCTTGGAAGCGCAGCCTTCCCAGCCGAGCCCTGGGACGACTGCAGCCCCTGCTGGCACCTGGATGGCAGCCTTGTGACAGTCCCTGAGCCTGAGGACACAGCTAACCTGTGAGGCACCAGGAGGCAACTAATGCTGTTTCAAGCCACTACATTTTGGAATAATGTGTTGTGCAGCAATAGTTCACTAATACAGAAACATTTATTTAAACATATCCTAATGTGACATACTGAGTAGCCACTATATGCACAGCATTACAATTCACTTTTTAAAAAGTGTTTTGAAGCATTTCTTTTCTCCCCCACCTTTACTGAGATGTAATTGATGTGGCTACTTTCCTTATTCCTTCCCCCAAGAAGGGAAACACGAAAGTAAAAATACACTGACAATATTTAAGAGGGTGTGTTAGTTTCACGTTTGCGGACTTCTCCTTTAAAAAGTAGATGATGACTCTGCAAAGACATATTACCTGTAACAAATTACCACAAACTTGGTGGCTTAAGACAATACAAATTTATTCTCTTTTAGTTCTGGAGGTCGCAAGTCCAAAAGTGGGTCTCAAATCAAGGTGCTGGCAGGGCGGTATTCCTTCTCCAGGCTCTAGGGAAAAGCTCCTTTCCTGGCCTTTTGTGGCTTCTAGGGCCTGTCCCTAATTCCTTGGCTTATAGCCTCTTCCATTTTCAAAACCAGCGGTTGCATCATTGATCTTTGCTTCCTTTTTCTCACTGACTTGCATTTCCCTCCTTTTATTGACACAGATCTTTGTGATTGTATTGGGCCCACCTGGATTATCCAGGCTAATCTCCCCATCTCAAGACTCATAATCACATATGCAATGTCCTTTTTACCATATACAGTAACATATTCCCAGCTTCCAGGGATTAGAATGTGGCTGTCTTTGCAGGGCCATTATTCTGCTTACCACAGTAGGGGAGGGGAGGCTCTATGTCCTCTAAAGAAATTTTGTGGACTGATGTATAGACACTGTAAAGAAAAGTAAAAAGCTGAAGGAAGCAAAAAAAGCTTACAAAATCAAGTTTTTCCATCCCACAAGAATCCTCCATGTTTAGTTTGCAGATCTTGCTTGTAAATACCCAGTAGCAGAGATGCTATGAAGGAAGATGGGAACACAGAGGACCAAACTCCAATGCAGTCAGAAGAAGACAAAGGGGACATGAGGATCATAAGTCACAGGTTTCTTGGGAAAACTTGATATTTTCCTAGAAATACCGATGTATGTCCTTCTCAATGAATGATCACAAACAGTATTATCTGTATATCAGTGTACCGCAAGGAAAATCAGATTGCTTAGTAAATGTCACTGCAAAAAGACTAACAACTACTACTTCTTATTTTAGCCAAGAACTAACATGAAAAACATGTGGCCAATGTGAAAAGAATCTGGTACTGTCAGAGACTTGACAAATTGGATTCTTGGTGAGTGATGCACCATCCAGCTCAATTCCTGGTATCAACTGCCCTCCAGGTCAGCACTGCATGAAACATCTGTTTTCAGCAAAATTAGCACAACTCCACCAAAATGTGTCTCAGCTGAAGGAAATAAAGAGATGGTCAAAATCGATTCTTATGCTATTTATGGGAAGGAATTCAGATAAAACCTAGCCTGATTCATGAGAAATGCTTCCAATCTCCCTTAACTGGGGGTCACTTGGGAAACATGCATTTTTCTGGTATGAGGGATGGGATGGTAGCAGTGGATGCCTCTATTCCTGTCCCATTAGTTTGGTAATGATACAAAGACATCAACATTAAATTAGATTGCAAAGCTCACGTCAAAAGCCAAACAACCCAGACATCCATGTCAAATCCCTTTACCATGAGTAACAAAACAATCAAAATGTTATAAACAAAACATGTCCAGAACTCAGCCAATGACTCACACATTTCAAGGAATATCTGATGCAGCAGAGCACTGAAATAAAATCAATTTAGACAGTTCTTGGATTTTATAATGGAATTTGACCTGGAATGGTGGCTTTAAAAAAAAGGGAAAGTGTGACCTTGACTTGAATGACTTGATAATAAAATGTATACAGCCCAGTTTTACCAGGCAATATGTGAGACACCCAGAACTATCAAGTGTGTAGCTACTAAGTGCTTTATAATACCTGACCTAACCTGTCTAAGGACAGAAAGCCCTAACTTTGCATTTGTCACCTAATGCAATGCAGGCATGGACAAGTGTGTGTAGGTGTGTATGTGCGCATGCATGCGTGCACGTGCAAGAGAGAGACAGAGACACTGAGAAAAAGAACACAGACGCAGCAGAACTGGAAGTTCTGCTTCAAAGCTGGGTTTATAACAGAATTGTTTCAAGTGGGTTTTACAGTGACTCACAAAGAGGTATGCGTTTCCAAGCTGCTTGCTTTTGGATCCCTCCAAAAATGTTTTTGAGAACAAACCTCAGGTTTCAAACTTATAATGACTAATAAGAGAAGTACAGCTTTGTAAGCTCACAGATACACACACTCTCAGGAGGCAGCATACGGTGGTGACTAAGTGTAGAACACGAATGGGAAGAAGTAGGAAGAACCTGGTGCTCTCTCACACTGCTGATGGAAAGCGTGACTGCCTTTTTGGATTGCAGCCTGACAATGTCTTTTACCATTAAACATGCACATACCTTGTGGTCATCCCTGGAAACCCACCACAACAAAGCAAGTCCCCATATGGAAGGACATGTGCACAAGGATGCTTGCTATGGACCAGTGTGCAATAGCCAAGCACCAGGAACAAAGGGAGAGCCTATTGATAGGGAATTGCTAAATGCACTGTGGACAGTCCGTGTAACCTGAGGTTATTTATTTTAAAATAAGTGTTTATTTTAAAAATAAAATTGGCCTTAAATATTTGGAAGTTTTCAAATTATTCTTTGGATTAAATGTCCACCTAACGCTAAGTCCTTCATAACAATACCTTTATCAAGAGACACCTCTATCTCAATCAAGGCTGCACTTGTTTCTAAACGACACAGAATCTCTGGGAACACTGGTGAGTCAATAGTAGCTAGGAAGTGGGGAGACATGGGAAAGGCGTGCCTTGTCCAGCAAGGTTTCAGGTGGCCTTGGACAAGTAACTAATCAGGTGGGCTTAGTGTTCACACTTATCAAACGGGGAGGGTAGCCCAGACAGTCTGGGCTTTATATTCTATAAATTCTACCTGACTTTCTTAACTTGAAGGGCCCCAGCAGCATTTGCTAATTTAAACACAGTTAAACATCAAGTTCACTGAACTTTGTGCTGATGTCCAGAAACAAGCACAGTACAGAGAAAGCAGCCCCTTGGGTTTTTTTTTTCCTGAATTGATTACTAAACCCCAGAACCCATCATACCTTTAGGAATAGGCTGGGAATGCTTTGCTCCTTGATCCAATTTGAAGTCCAGATATAAGGTTGGTGTGCGAGTGTAAATCTTGGACTGAAAAAAATAGGAAACCATCAGTGCCTTTCCAAGAATCAAGTTGTTCTTCACTTCAGCTGGGCCCTTCTGGGACAGGGCCTGGATCCATTACGTTTACAGTTTATCCGTGGGAAGTGCTATTAAAGCAGGGGATAGGCTGCCACTACAGCCCCTCTTAACGGTCTTGGTCTAGAAGTCAGCCCTCCTAGCTTTAGAGTATGGTTGACGAGCTACTTGCAGGATGATGGCTGTCTCTTCACAACCATTTCTCAGACATCCAATGGTAATTTACTGGCCAACTGTTACTCCAACTTTCTCCTTCTAGTCTCCACTGGATATGGTAGGTTATCTCATCCAAATGTATGTTTCCTCTCCAGGTCTTAAAGCCATGTCCATTTTTTTTTTTGAGAGGGCATCTCTCATATTTATTGATCAAATGGTTGTTAATAACAATAAAATTCAGTATAGGGGGGTCAACGCTCAATGCACAATCATTAATCCATCTCAAGCCTAATTCTCGTCAGTCTCCAATCTTCTGAAGCATAAAGAACAAGTTCTTACACGGTGAACGAATTCTTACATAGTGAATAAGTTCTTACATGGTGAACAGTACAAGGGCATTCATCACAGAAACTTTCGGTTTTGATCACGCATTATGAACTATAAACAATCAGGTCAAATATGAATATTCGTTTGATTTTTATACTTGATTTATATGTGGATCCCACATTTCTCCTTTTATTATTATTATTATTATTATTTTTAATAAAATGCTGAAGTGGTAGGTAGATGCAAGATAAAGGTAGAAAACATAGTTTAGTGCTGTAAGAGGGCAAATGTAGATGATCAGATGATCAGGTGTGTGCCTATGGACTAAGTATTAATCCAGGCTAGACAAGGGCAGCAAGACATCCACGGATGCAGAAGATTTCTCTCAAAGCAGGGGGGGTGAGGTTCTGAGCCTCACCTCTGTTGATCCCCAAATTCTCACCTGATGGCCCCCCTGCGACTGTGCCTGTCTTAGGTTGTTCCTCCCTTGAGGAATCTTACCCGTCTCTGGCTAACCAGTCATCTTCCGGGGCCATACAGGGAAATGTAAAGTTGGTAAGTGAGAGAGAAGCCATATTGTTTGCAAAGGTTAGCTTTTTACTTCTTTGCAGATTTATGCCCTGTGGCTTCTATGCCCAGCACTTGTCTCGAGGTATCTTTACCACCTGGAGGAATTATGATACTCGGTAAATTCGATATGAGGCACGAATTCTATTTAAGGGTTGTAATTAGGAAGGAAGAAGAAAAGCTATAGATGTAGCATATGAAGGAAACTTGGGAGGATTGATTATTTCTTTGACATATCTTCTTGTATAGTACCTTAAGTATGTATAGGTTTTAAACTACTAACTAATTTGCACACACATATTAACATAATAGGAATACGGTGACATAAACAAAGCAAATCTATAATTACCAGCCATCTCCAGTGAAGCCAAGAAAACCATTTAGGCACCCTAGGCATTTGTGAAAATTTATCTATGATATGATGGATATTTTCCAACTGTACTTGAACCATCAGACAAATTAAAGCAGCCCATTTCTGGGATCTGTTCACATCCCATATGTTCTTTTAACCATAGATAGTCTATAGTCATGAGATTTTGGGGTGCTACAACTTGCACCCCTCCCAACTCCTGGTTGAGTTCCAACAGTACAGATCCAGTCAAATTCGTTGTCTCACTGTATGCACATGCCAGCCTAGACATCTCCCTCCTCCTTCTTATGGCAAGTCCAGGAGACGGTGGGCTGGATGCAGCCACAACCGCAGCATCGTCCGGATCCCTGTGGAGGCTTTTTGATGATCATCCCCCGGCACGAGTCCTCCAGAGAGTGCTGATGCCGGAAGCTCCTCCTCATATCGTATCTTAGTTCATTTTCTGGGTATCCAAGCTAGGCCTTGATCTTCTGCGTAGAAACAAACAGACCCTTTGCCCACACTTTGACATGCCCTCTATACCACTGTGCAGAACTCATTGGAGGTCAGCACACAGTAACTGCTTTTTTTTTTTTTTTTTAATTAAGAGAAAGGAATATTATCAGAAAAGAGTACCTCCATAGCTGATCATCTGACACCCTTTAAGTGATCAACATTAAGGATATTTAAAGCATGCGTTGATCTTTGATTTACCAATAGTTTTATCCTGTTAAGGAGTAATCCCCCTTTTCTTTCTTTCTTTCTTTTTTTTTTTTTAAATTTTTAATCTACACTTACCTGAAGAATACTATGTTTACTATGCTCTCCCCTATATCAGGTCCCCCCTAACAACCACATTACGGTTACTGTCCATCAGCTTAGCAAAATGTTGTAGAGTCACTACTTGTCCTCTCTGTGTTGTGCAGCCCACCCTCCCCTTTCTCCCTCCCCCCCATGCATGCTAATCTTAATACCCCCCTTCTTCTTCCCCCCCCTTATCCCTCCCTGCCCACCCATCCTCCCCAGTTCCTTTCCCTTTGGTACCTGTTAGTCCATTTTTGGGTTCTGTAATTCTGCTGCTGTTTTGTTCCTTCAGTTTTTCCTTTGTTCCTATACTCCTCAGATGAGTGAAATCATTTGGTATTTCTCTTTCTCCGCTTGGCTTATTTCACTGAGCATAATACTCTCCAGCTCCATCCATGTTGCTGCAAATGGTTGGATTTTTCCACTTCTTATGGCTGAGTAGTATTCCATTGTGTATATGTACCACATCTTCTTTATCCATTCATCTACAGATGGACATTTAGGTTGCTTCCAATTCTTGGCTATTGTAAATAGTGCTGCGATAAACATAGGAGTGCATCTGTCTTTCTCAAACTTGATTGCTGCGTTCTTAGGGTAAATTCCTAGGAGTGGAATTCCTGGGTCAAATGGTAGGTCTGTTTTGAGCATTTTGATGCACCTCCATACTGCTTTCCACAATGGTTGAACTAATTTACATTCCCACCAGCAGTGTAGGAGGGTTCCCCTTTCTCCACAGCCTCGCCAACATTTGTTGTTGTTTGTCTTTTGGATGGCAGCTATCCTTACTGGTGTGAGGTGATACCTCATTGTAGTTTTAATTTGCATTTCTCTGATAATTAGCGATGTGGAGCATCTTTTCATGTGTCTCTTGGCCATCTGTATTTCTTTTTTGGAGAACTGTCTGTTCAGTTCCTCTGCCCATTTTTTAATTGGGTTATTTGTTTTTTGTTTGTTGAGGCGTGTGAGCTCTTTATATATTCTGGACGTCAAGCCTTTATCAGATCTGTCATTTTCAAATATATTCTCCCATACTGTAGGGTTCCTTTTTGTTCTATTGATGGTGTCTTTCGCTGTACAGAAGCTTTTCAGCTTAATGTAGTCCCACTTGCTCATTTTTGCTGTTGTTTTCCTTGCCCGGGGAGATATGTTCAAGAAGAGATCACTCATGTTTATGTCTAAGAGGTTTTTGCCTATGTTTTTTTCCAAGAGTTTAATGGTTTCGTGACTTACATTCAGGTCTTTGATCCATTTTGAGTTTACCTTTGTATATGGGGTTAGACAATGGTCCAGTTTCATTCTCCTACATGTAGCTGTCCAGTTTTGCCAGCACCATCTGTTGAAGAGACTGTCATTTTGCCATTGTATGTCCATGGCTCCTTTATCAAATATTAATTGACCATATATGTTTGGGTTAATTTCTGGGGTCTCTAATCTGTTCCACTGGTCTGTGGCTCTGTTCTTGTGCCAGTACCAAATTGTCTTGATTACTATGGCTTTGTAGTAGAGCTTGAAGTTGGGGAGTGAGATCCCCCCTACTTTATTCTTCTTTTTCAGGATTGCTTTGGCTATTCGGGGTCTTTGGTGTTTCCATATGAATTTTTGAATTATTTGTTCCAATTCATTGAAGAATGTTGCTGGTAATTTGAGAGGGATTGCATCAAATCTGTATATTGCTTTGGGCAGGATGGCCATTTTGACGATATTAATTCTTCCTAGCCATGAGCATGGGATGAGTTTCCATTTATTAGTGTCCCCTTTAATTTCTCTTAAGAGTGACTTGTAGTTTTCAGAGTATAAGTCTTTCACTTCTTTGGTTAGGTTTATTCCTAGGTATTTTATTCTTTTTGATGCAATGGTGAATGGAATTGTTTTCCTGATTTCTCTTTCTATTGATTCGTTGTTAGTGTATAGGAAAGCTACAGATTTCTGTGTGTTGATTTTGTATCCTGCAACTTTGCTGTATTCCGATATCAGTTCTAGTAGTTTTGGAGTGGAGTCTTTAGGGTTTTTTATGTACAGTATCATATCATCTGCAAATAGTGACAGTTTAACTTCTTCTTTACCAATCTGGATTCCTTGTATTTCTTTGTTTTGTCTGATTGCCGTGGCTAGGACCTCCAGTACTATGTTAAATAACAGTGGGGAGAGTGGGCATCCCTGTCTGGTTCCCGATCTCAGTGGAAATGCTTTCAGCTTCTCGCTGTTCAGTATAATGCTGGCTGTGGGTTTATCATATATGGCCTTTATTATGTTGAGGTACTTGCCCTCTATTCCCATTTTGCTGAGAGTTTTTATCATGAATGGATGTTGAATTTTGTCAAATGCTTTTTCAGCATCTATGGAGATGATCATGTGGTTTTTGTCTTTCTTTTTGTTGATGTGGTGGATGATGTTGATGGATTTTCGAATGTTGTACCATCCTTGCATCCCTGGGATGAACCCCACTTGGTCATGGTGTATGATCCTTTTGATATACTGTTGAATTCTGTTTGCTAATATTTTATTGAGTATTTTTGCATCTACATTCATCAGGGATATTGGTCTGTAATTTTCTTTTTTGGTGGGGTCTTTGCCTGGTTTTGGTATTAGGGTGATGTTGGCTTCATAGAATGAGTTTGGGAGTATTCCCTCTTCTTCTATTTTGTGGAACACTTTAAGGAGAATGGGTATTATGTCTTCTCTGTGTGTCTGATAAAATTCCGAGGTAAATCCGTCCGGCCCCGGGGTTTTGTTCTTGGGTAGTTTTTTG